GTAGAATAAAATCATAAAACGACTCATTGTTTCGTTGTATCTCTTTCAGTTTTCAATACAACATGATTGATGCGTTTTGCAACAAAACTCAAGCAAGCATCCAATAAAATACAGTAGAAACTAATTAAATAAGCATTTTCTCAAAAGATTTTTTTCATTTATACTAATTTACTTTCATTTCCCCTTAATAAAAGAAATTATTTCATTTAGTATTTCATGTGGATGTAATTGATTGTAAAAAATGAATTTACAAGTATTTCTTGATAAAATGGAATAAATATGGAATTATCTGCAATAATCTCTAGGTTTGCGGGATTCGTATTGCTATGATTAATATTAGATGAAATGTGGATGCAAAAATTGTATTGAATTATTTACAGATTTGTAAAGTTATGATTAATATTTAATTAATGTATAGACGTTGAAGGTGTTGAAGAAGCACGCTGCGAAATGCATGATTCACTGTACACAGCTTGAAGTGTTTGCAGAGAAATTGGCGAAATGTAAAGTTGAAAACGTTTTATTTTCATGAATACCTTAAGGATATTAAACACATACCGATGTATCAGCGCCAGCAATAAACACAGAACCGTCGTTGAATCCGTAATTAATGGATTGCAAACAGTAAGCGTACGGGTCTCGTTCATTCCGTTGTTTTTTTGCGTTATTTTTTTAAATCAAACACGTTGGAAGCGTTTCAATTGTTCAAACAAAACAAAGAAATAATAATAATAATTCTTACCAGTGCGTATTCCGCGCAAATGTCGATGCTCTGAACGAAATTGCAGACGTCCTCGACGGTCCAATGCGAGATGTCTTCATGCAGTTTGGGACTCTCGGATTCGGCCCTTTTGGGTAGACTTCCTACGCTTCCGGTGGACGGAGTCTTGTTACGTGGCCTTTTCGTAGGAGGCGGCGCAGCCGCCGCGGACAGATCCAACGGTGAGGAAGGATCGGATCGTTTCGCGTTCTTCAGCAGCCCTTGGAGTTCGGCCTCTTTGGCCGTTCGCACCATCGCGAGGAGGGCTTGCGTGGAGGACATGTCGATGAGGGGCGGAAACATCGCCGAACCGGCGACGGCGAAAGGGTTCAGGACCTGAGGGAATTCGGGTTTCTTAGTTGGGTCTTCTTTGTTTGGTGTCTGGAGGGCGGGCATCAGTGGAAACGATTGTTTGTAGCGCGGATCCAGAGGCGGCGGAAAACCGTTCCTCGAAAAGTACCTGAAGATAAACAACCATTATTTACACAGGCGCATTCAAATATTTTTACACAAGCGAAAAGCTACCAGAAACCCAAGCACTTTAAATTTAACCCATTCAATTTTCAACCTTTTTTCAATGATGAATATCATACAAATTGTATGAATGCAAGCAAATATTCAAAAATGTATATATAAAGTTATGTATTAATATTCTTCAGTAGTGAAACATAAAAACTGTTGAGGATTGTGTGAACTTACTCGTTTGGATTGGCGTTGTTGTATTTGGCTGCTAAACTCCTCATGAAATCGCTGTAGTTTCTTCCGGAGATGTGCAGCATGGGGTTGGCATCCGGTGCAGGCGGCGTGTCCGGATGCGAGGGCGTCACGGACCTGGAGGAGGTGTCCGGAGTGCCGGGACTAAGTCTTTCGTTCTTAACATTATTGTTGTTGTTGTTGTTATTGTTATTGTTGTGGAAGTCTGCGGGGGATGGAACCAAGGTGGCGGAAAGGTTGGCAGCAGCCGAAACCCTGTCCGGTCTCCTCCTCCTCGGCTTCCCAATTGGAGTCGTCGGACTTTCAGTCAAAGCGTCCGCCGATCCCGTATCACCTGCAAACAAGGACATATTTCAAAATCAGAAACACCCGCATTAACGACGTGTCGACCCGAAAGAGTTCGATGGCTCAATCGACGACAACCCGTATCAATCCATAAAAATACCATCAAAATGAATATGAAAGAGGAAACCGCGCGCTCTAAGTACAAAACTAGTTCTCTTAAAGTTATTTAATCAAAAAGCTTTAGAATAACTCTATATTACATCAATTCCATCATCACTAATTGAGATAATCCACTGAGCTGCATTTGTAGTTACAACTTCAAGCATTCGGTTGAATTTCCGAATTCCCTCTCAACCGAAGGTTATGTCAGCAGGTAGTAGTCAGCAGGTCAACTGCAGACTTACCGACTCATCTTGGTAATCAAATTGCTTTTTGTTGCGGCAATATTGCCAGGATGATGAGGCAGAAAAAGCTCGGGGAGACGGACGCATTTTTATTTCTATGCCGGTATTACTGTGCGCAAGATACAATTAGTTTCTTATTTATTGCAATGCCCGCAGAGAAAAACGACAAGGACATGGCACAATATGAGAGAGAGAGAGAGAGAGATGGAGTGAATGAGAAGAGTAATGTAAAGAAGAGGTGAAGTGGAGGAGAAAAAGAAACGAAACGAAGATGAAGTTGATGAAGGAAAAAAAGAGAAGAAGAAGAAGGGACGCACGAAACGGAGAAAAGGAGGATCGAAGTGACTTGTCGCTTTTCGCCCAGCAACATTAAAGACAATTAAAGATACGACAAACAAAGCTCCTTGTTGCTTTCAGCATTACAACGATTAATGAGGAGATAAGCAAATATTTTTTTTTTAACAATCTCTAACCGAAATCATAATTAAATTTTACCAATATCAACAAAATTATTCTATACAAATGTTAAGAAAAATGATAAAATTTTAATAATTTATTAGAATCATATTAATTAGTAATTTAAATTTGAAAACTCTTTTAATTAGAAATTGATTGAAATGTTAATTTCTTACATTAAGTTTCATTTGATTGAAAATGTAATTGTTATGTTAAACTTAATGGAAAGTACAATTCCATAATTTTCATCGATGTGTCTGCGGTTGTCTTCTCGAAGAATATCTCTTTGGGATATCTATTTTACAATTCCTCTTCTTCCTACAGTTACTTATTTTTATATGCATGTATTTAGCTAATTCGAATAATAATTAAAGTGCACGGGTGATTTACCGTCGCCGACCGGCTGCAACAAAACGATGAGCACGAGAAGGACGGAATGGATGAGAAAGAGTGAGACACGAAGTGGATGGAACCAAGCCGGAGATTGTGTGGTCAACCAGTTTCGTATCTGATTGTCATCTCGTGGAACTGCCGTTCCATAAAACATCTCTCTTTACGACCAATATGACAACTATTCTAATATTTACATTTGGATTTACATACGTATTTAATGGACATAAACGTTTGTCATTTTAACACTTTCTTCACTAAATTTATTCCGTGTATATATGCATATATGCTAGCAAACCCACAAAAAAAAAATAAGAAATATTAAAGAAGGCACGAATATAAAAAAAAGAAACCATAAGACGATCGCACCCACGTGATCCATTAGGTAACGAGGAACGTCAGATCGAAGCTAATTGCAAAGGTAAAGGTGAGTGGATCGAATGAAATGTGTAAGGATCTTTGAAACATTTGATTCATAGTCGAAACGATGCAGGAGTTGCCAATCATTTCAGTCACGAATATCTTCTTAATATACCAAAATATATTAGGTAACAATAATTTATTCATTAATATTGGTTAATAATTTAATTTTATATTTAGATGAAATGATATTGTTTATCTATTTTTATTAAAACCATAAGACAATGTCTTAGCAACTGTCACAAGGTTCATAATAAACTTCATTTGATTCATAGCAAGTGCCATAAGATTCATATCAACTGTCAAAAGATTAATATCAAACGTCATTTGAATCATAGCAAATGTCATAATATTCATATCAACTGTCATTTGATTCATAGCAAAAGTCATAAGATTCATATCAACTGTCATTTGATTCATAGAAAATGTCATAAGATTCATATCAAACGTCATTTGAATCATAGCAAATGTCATAATATTCATAATGTAATAAGATTCTTATCAACTGTCATAAGATTCATATTAAACGTCATTCGATTCATATCAACTGTCATAAAATACATATCAAACGTCATTTGAATCATAGCAAATGTCATAATATTCATATCAACTGTCATAAGATTCATATCAAACGTCATTCGATTCATATCAACAGTCATAAGTTTCATATCAAACGTCATTTGATTAATAGCAAATGTCATAAGATTCATATCAAACGTCACTTTATTCATAGCAAATGTTGTAATATTCTTATCAACTGTCATAACATTCATATCAAACGTCATTTGATTCATAGCAAATGTCATAAGATTCATATCAACTGTCATAATATTCATATCAACTGTCATAAGATTCATATCAAACGTCATAATATTCATATCAAACGTCAATAATATTCATATCAAACATCATAATATTCATATCAACTGTCATAAGATTCATATCAACTATCCTAAGTTTCATATGAAACGTCATTCGATCCATAGCAAATGTCATAAGATTCATATCAACTGTTGAAAGATTCATATCAAACGTCATTTGATCCATATAAAATGTCATAAGATTCATATCAACTGTCATAAGATTGAAATAAAACGTCATTTGATTCATAACAAATGTCATAAGATTCATATTAACTGTTGGAAGATTCATATCAACTGTCATAAGATTCATATCAAACGTCATTCGA